GGACTCATTCATGAAAACTTTCAGCTCACTGTCTCCAATCACTTCGCAGAGTGCGTGGGAAGCAGCGGGGCTACTTCTCACAGGGTAGGTCTTGGCTCCCCCAAACCATCACTGGTCACCCAGACACTGTCCCCGACTTTAACTTACCTACCACCCCTCCCCCTCCTGCAGAGACACTGAAGAAGCTCCGATCCTGGACCTTGCTCACCCCACCCTTCACTGAGGGAAGGAGGAGACCCTGTACACCAGCTCAGCAAAACCCGTGTATGTCCTGGGCAAAGTCCCAGCGCCTCCTGGCCCAGGGGTCTGGGGCTTTGAACGGGGCCAAATATCCTCTCCTTGCCCCTCTCAGCCGGAGCGGATGCTCCAGGGATTGCCCTCTGCAACAGGTCATGCACGCTGCAGCCTAGAGTGGCCCGGGGGTGGGGGTGTGAACGGGTGGAGGAAAACAGGTCTTAGTCACTAAAACGGGGAGCAGTTTGTAAGAGAGCTTCGGTGGCCACAGATCTGGCCTGGGGCCAGAGGGCAGAGCCTCATAACCCTGGTGTAGGGAGCACCCGCCACGAGCCAGCCACGCACACACACGCACACCCGTTATCTTATTGGGAGTTTTAGAATGCCTGGGGTGACATTTACCGTGCCTATTCCGTGAGACAGTTTAAGTGACTTACCCAGTGCCATACGGCTGCAACACACTCGAGTTAATTATAATTCTTTCTATTAAATCCAAGCTGCTTAGTAGGTTCCAAACGTCCAAACGACAAATATTGTAACATTCTGCCTTTTTGCTGTCCCTCTCCCTGGGGAACCGGACACCGTAGGAGTTGCGGAGAAATATTCCTTAAAAGGCCAGCTGAGCCCCTCAAGCAGAGGGGCACACACTGGCTCCCCTCTCTGCCTCTGAGGGACCCTGGCCCCTCACCCACTCCCACTGCGGAGCATCTGACTTTGGAGGGGAGGTTTGGCCGGGCTGGATCCTAAACCATTCCAAGGCTGGACGGCCAGGTCTTCTGTGAAGGGACTTGGGGTCACCGAGAAGTGGCCAGCGCTGGAAGCGCCTTTAGCTCCTTATCAAATATTAACACGTCTCCCCTGCCACCTCCCACCTAGACGAATAATTAAGAGCTTGGTCTCACCATTAATCTTTAAACAAAAATCACCCTGTCCAGAAAGACCGGCTGGACCAGGACCTCGGATCTCCGAGTGCCCCCCGCCAGGCTCCCGATCCAGCGCTGGAGGCTGGGGAGCAGAGCGAGCCCGCAGCCTTTGGGGTAAAGAAATAAGGGTGGGAATCGGGGAATGCCGGGGCCCCCACTGCACCCAGCACGTCGTCCTTGCTGGGGGGGGGCACCCAGTACTGAGCGGCGGACAGACCAAGGGGGCCAGGGAAGGAACGGTGGGGGCCGAGAAGCATCCTTATCTCAGCCTCCCGATCTTGCCGGGACTCGGGGCAGCGCACACGAGAGCAAGCCCCGCACTCCCCGGGACGCGCGTGTGCGCCCCGACCCGCGCCCCGCCCAGTCCACCCGCGCCCCGGCGCTCGCTGCGCGGACGTGGGCAGGGACCCCCGGGGCCGCCCTCACCTCCGTTAGCCCGGGACGTGACCACAGCGACGGCGAGGACAGCGAGCGGCAGCCTCATGGTGCGCTACAGCGAAGACCGCAGAGCCCGGGATGTCGCACCGAGCGGGGGGTGTGTCGCGATCCTGCCCGCCGGGTTTTATAGCGGAGCCCCGAACCGGGGCGCGGGAGGCGGCTCCTCCCCCTGGCGGAGCCTCCCCTCCCCTCGCCTCGGCCAGTCCGGGTCCGACCCTGCGCTCCGCACCCGCCCCGCCCAGCCCCGCCAGCCCGGCCGGCGCGCGGGGACCCTCACCCACGCCGCATCCCGCCCGCCCGTCCCCGGCCTGTCTTTGGTCTCCGATTTGGGGAGAGAGAAGCGACATCACGAAGTACTAGACCCACAGGGGCGAGCGCCCCAGATTCCCAGCCTCCATCATTTTGGCGCCAATACCGCGCAGAGTCTCCCAGCGGGTCCCGGAGGTGGCCCTGGGCCGGGACTGGGTAGGGTGACTCCGGGAGGTGCTGTACGTTTGACCCGGCGGCCCAAGGAAGGACCGCTCTCTTGTCCCTCTCGGGGGTCGCTGATTCTCGGCGACTCATCTTTTTCCTCCCAGACTGTTCCAAATTGAATTTCCAAGCTGGCCTAAGCTCCTTCTAACACCGAAAAGCTATCCCTACGCTGCGGTAGCCCGTGTCTGCGACGCGGCGAGGTAGGTGTGGGGATGGGGCGCGGGGTGAGGGTGAGGCGCCGCAATAGAGAAGTGAAATGTGAAGGACTCAGTGGGACAGAAGCAAAATCACGGTGTCAGAGGCGAGGGGCTGGGTCCTATGCTGGGCCCTGAGACCCAGAAGATAAGATAGGAAGAGAGCCGGGTGTGGTGGCGCACGCCTGTAATCCCGGCGCTCGGGAGGCTGAGGCAGGAGGATCTTTGCGAGTTCGAGACCAGCCTGGGCTACAAAGTGAGCTCAAGGCCAGCCTGAACTGCCTAAGCGAGACCCTGTCTCAAAAAAAATCCAAACAAACAAACAAAGATAGGAAGAGATCAGGGTCTAATGGACCCGTAGGTCTTCCATTTGCCAGGATCTGCAGGAGAATCCGAGGAAAGGAAAGTCTCCCTCCCCTGGCAGCCCTTGTGGGGTGTGGGCTTCCATGGAAGTTTAGCCAGGGGTGGAGGAGAGGGGTGGAGGAGAGGGAGTCAGGCGGCAGACCCGGACCCCTCCATCAACAGGAAGCCCCATTTTTCTGGTCCAGCCTCTTCCCCATCCGTTGCCAACCTCTCAGCCCCAACCGGCCTTTGAACTGGGCTAGGGACCTCTGCAGGGGGATCGAACCCGCCCCCAGAACATCCAGGCGAAGGGCTTCTTCCTTGGGCAGATATGTGGCCGACTCCCCACTCTGGCCCAGGATCACACAGCCTCGCAGAGCAGCTTTGATCCTTCAGAGGCAGGCGGAGGGCAGAGGGTGTCCACACCAGGCTTAGGTCCCTATTGTCTCCGCTGCTGTGGAATTTTCAGTCACCAACCAGGGATCATGACAGTTGGGGGAAGGGTTCCACTCCCTTTTCTTGTTTTTTTGCGGGTAGGGGGAGCGGATTTGTTTTCACAGAGCTGAAAACAAAAAGCTTCTTTCCGACTGGGGAGTGGGGTGGGGAGAAAGCCTAGGTGCCCCTGGTGGCTGGGGGAGGGGAGTCCCCCGAGGTAAGGGGCTCTGGTGGAGTTAGGGGTTATTGATGAGTGTGACTTTGGGCCCACTTTAAAGTCTGTTGCACTGGGGGCCCTGAGGAGAGGAATGTGAGCGGGCCAGGGTGTGCTTTGAAGCAGGGCCATGCGGGTGGCCCTCTGAGGACAGGGGACAAGCACCACGGGCTGCATGCCGTGCCGTGGTAGTCAGGGAGTTCTTCTATCTGCCATCTCTGACCCAGCGTTATACAGATGGGAGGTGCGCACTCCTGTCCGGCATTCCCAGGCTTATCTCCCAGCCCTGCTCCAGTCCTAGCCTGCCATAAACCAGTTGCCTGTCACATTGTCTAGGCCACCTGGGGCTAGTTTCCCTGATGGGGGTGAGGCCCAATTTAGGGTCATCAGAGCAGAGATGTGTGGTGACATGTGCTGGAGATTTATGGGCCTATAAGGCTGCCAGCCCGGGCGCCTTGAGCACGAAAGCCGGGCTTGCTATCCCGGCCCTGCCCAAATCCTAGCCCTACTGTAGCCACCTTCCATTTATTAAGCCTAGGGTCCTCTGTGTCCTGAACTTCGTGTCCTGAGTTCAAATCTTGTTCTTCCTCTGACTCAGGGAAGACCTTGGGCAACTTTCCTATCCTGGGATTGCAACTTCCTCATCTATAAAGTGGGGATGGGAATCCCTGCCCTGCCGACCTCTAACAATAAACAGTTACTGGGAACCTGCCATGGTGAATCACAGTCCTTGGCTTCAGAGAACTGGCACTCACGCGGTCCGATCCACAACAGAAGCGGGCAGTGAGGGAACCGAAGGGCTTCAGGGTTGGGCAACTCTTCTGCGTCCAGGCGTGGAGGAGGTGTCTGCTCTGTGATGTCAGTTCAGTGCGTTTCTCCCATCTGTAGAAGGGAAATCTTATCTACAGCCTTATCTTTCTCGTAGAGAGATGTGAAGATTCAGTGAGCTAAAGCGTGATGAGGAAGCCTGGCACAGGCTGGGCACACTGGCACATGTGACCTCCTCCTCCTTTTTCCTCCTCCTCCTTCTTGTCCTCCTTTTGTTTTTTTTTTTGACATGACTTCAAGGCCGAGGTCCCTTATCTTGTCGGTATCAATAAGGCACCAGGTGAAGGGGGACACCAGCCTAGACCAAGGGAGAAGCCCTCATACAACCAGGCTTCTCCTAAACTCTCAAGAATAGGGAAGGCAGCCTTAGAGGCCTGGACCTGAAAATGTGAGATTCAAACTCAGCCCCTCCTGGGACGGTGACAGACATGAGGTAGAGGCACAGGGAGCTGAGCCCTGGTGATCCTAGTGTTCCTAGTTCAGAAGCTCAGATGCGTAGCCCTAAACAGAAACTTATGTTCAGGGTTGGGGTAGAAGATCAGAACAGCTTTTGGAGCCAGCCTGCAGTGGGTCCCATCCATGCCTCAGCGCTCACCCTTCTCACTCAGGTTCAGTACCTTGATCAGGAAAACAGGTTAAAGACAGCACCTCTCCCGCTCGGGTATGGTTAGAATTCAACTAGAGGATGCTGCGTAAAAGGCCTGGTAGAGGTCTAAGCATTTAGTAATTGCTCAACAAACTTTGGCTGTAGTTCACAGCTGTTAAGGGAACAATGGTATTTATGCCCAGAATATTCCAGGGGTGACAGAAACAATACCTAACCCAGCTAATGCACAGCCAGGGCGTAGGAGGAAATTTCTGGAGGTGATGAGACCTGAGCTGAGTCTTCACAGACTAGTAGGACTGGGGTGCAGGTCAGTGGTGGAGTACTTGCCTAAGCATGCATCGGGCCCCAGATTTCATTTTTTTTGGCAGTACTGGAGATTGAACTCATGACCTTGTACTTGCCAGGCAGGCGCTTATGCCACTGAGCTAAATCCCCAGCCCCCAGGCCCCAGATTTCAATCCCTACAACGCAAAGAGGGGAAAAAAAAGACAAGTAGATATTAACTGGAAAAAAAAAAAAAAAAGGGAAGGGGAAAAAATGGGAAGGGAAAGTCATGGAGAGGAAACAGAATGAGAAAAGCCATTTTCTCAGGAACATCCCCTTAGAGATAAGGCCGGAGAAGTATTTGGGACCCGACAGGTAGGACTTGTTTTTTTGGAGGATTACAATAGAAGTTTGAATTTATCTTTCCTTTGGTCAGAGATGAATAGCAACATCCTGGTTTTCTAGGTCAGGAACATCTTCAGAGAGTGTTGCTTAACCCTAGAATAGGGCAGGAGAAGTGGAGGCTTAAGCGGGTAATGACTTGCCCAAAATGCCCGGCAAAGAGCGCAAGGGGGGATTGCGGCCTCCCTCTCCTGCTGGAGCGAAAGCCTGCTCCCCGCTGCTCTGTCCTATTTCTCCTCCCCCGCGCACGCACACTTCCCTCCCCCTGGGACCCCAGCCTCCGCCCTTCCTTGTTTTTAGAACCCTCGGTCTTTGCTGATTAGCAGAGGATTCAGGAAGAGGTTTACAGAGATTCCAGCTTGTGTGTCCCTGGATGTTGAGATTAAATCCATACACAAAGCAAGGTTTAATTAATAGCCTGGTCTCTAAGGCTCCCCAGCCCGGATCCCTGCCATATTCCGGCAAAGACAAGAAAGCTTCTTTCTGCCAGCAGCCGTGGTTGCTGCAGGGCTCTGCCCTCCTCTTTTCAGGGACCTGCTCCCCTGACTTCGGAGAATCTTGCGGGGAGAGAGAAGGGGCGGGCGAGGGAGCTGGAGGCTCACTGGGCCAGGGCAGGCGCTGCCTTCGTAGACGGGGCAGACACTCCTGCCTCCAAACATTCTGAATGACAGCAGCAGCAAAACATGTGGGAAAACCCAACAATGGAGATGACACGTGTTCTGTTCCCACCACGCAGAAATTTAGGATTACACCTCCATGGTTCTTTCCCCCTCTCTCAGCTCAGCCGAGGGAGCCCAGGCTCACTCCAGCTCACTCCCAGATCAGGAGGCTGGGATCTGAGCCGCTTTGGATTTGCGACTGTATTTGTTTACATTCTGGTTTTGTGGTGGAGGGATTCCTAAAGAGGGGAGGGAGGGGAATCAGGTGGGGAGAAAAAAGAAAAGCCACGGCAGCAGCCTGGGGTGGTGGATGGTGTGAGGGGACTGTGAACCTCAGGGAACACTGTAGCATCATTAAGAAAACAGGCTCTAGGGGCTGGGGATGTAGCTCAGCGGCACAAGTGCCTGCCTGGCAAGCACAAGGTCCTGAGTTCGATTCCTGGTACCGGAAAAAAAAAAAAGGAAAAGAAAACAGGCTCTTTCCCAGGGGCTGCGTGCACATGTGCTGTGTGAACTTCTTTCCTTCCAAGTTATCTACTGTAGGACATTTGGAAAGAAGAAGAATAAATCACCAAGTGACTTTATCTCCCAGAGCCAACCACTTTACAAATATATATGTATATATTTAATTTAGAAAGAAAGTAGCTTCCTATCTCACTTGAATTAGTGTCACCATTCAGCCTTTATCTATATGCAAC